CTCCCCCTCTCAGCGTCCTCCTCATCCTGCTGATCTCCCTGCTCATGTACAAAACCATCTACCCGATTGCGCATCACACGATTGGGTCGTTTGGGAGATCAAGGGCACCCCACGAATGCAAAATCCGCCACCGTGCCTGCACGGAGTTGGCGTGTTGGAGTGCTCGCCTGTTGTCTGGGAAAAAAAGCTTCTGAAACCTCAAGATCGCCCAAGAGGCCCCCAAGACGGCGCGAGGGAACTCCAAGTGGCCCTCCAGGATAGGAGAGCCCTAGGAGATAGACACCATCGGTTTCACTTGGTTTTTGCTGGATTTTGAAGTTCTCGCCGTTGTTTTTGCAACCGCCCCAGGCACCCCAAGATCGCCCAAAGAGGCTCTGACGAGGGCCCCAAGACGGCTCGAAAGCGCTCCAACAGGGCACCAAGACGGCCCAGAGAGGCACCCAGAGGCCCCCAAGAGGCCCCAAAAAGGCCCCAAGAGGCCCCCCCCAAACCCAAAGAGGCGTCCAAAACCCAAAGAGACGTCCATTGAGGCCTTCCCCGAGATCCCAACGAACACCCAATTGGCCCACAACCAAGGCACGGTGGCGGGATAGGCCCAAGGCCATTAGATCCGCCACCTCCTGTGGTCTTGCCGCAGGGGTGGCTTGCGTGCTGAACTTCTTACGGTTAGGTCTGGCTCTTTTTCCAAACTGGGGCTTCTGCCCGTCCCGCCGGCCATCCTGAAGGGACCTGACACGAGCGCAACGTGCACAGAACAAAAAATCTACAAGACGGCTCAAGATGACCTCCAGGAAGGCAAGATGGCTTTCAAGTTCGCCCAAGAAGGTCCAAGATGGCCTCCAAGACGTCACAAGAGGGTCCAAGATACCTCCAAGCCCGCCCAAGAAGCCGCCAAGACGGCGAAAGCTGGCGCCAGGATGGCCCAAGACGCTCCGAGACGCTCCCAAGGGGTCTCCGAGACGGCCCAAGAGGCCTCCAAGAGGTCCTCATGGAAGGCCAGAAGAGGCCAACATCATTAGTTGTCCATTGGCCATTGGTTTTTGAAGGATTTGGGCATTTGCTTCTTGTCGACCTTCCGACGGCCCGAGACGGCCCAAGAGCCCCCAAAGATCGCTCGCCCCCAAGGAGACCCAAGACGGCCCAAGAGGCATCCAAGACACCCAAGCTGGCTCCCAAGACGGCCCTGGAGCACGCCAAGAAGGCCCCAAATCGGCCCGGAGAGGCCCCCAAGACGGCTTTCGACGGCGTCAGACGGGCCATCAAGACGGCCCAAGATGGCTCCAAGATGGCCCAAGACGGCCCAAGAGGACCCAAAGAGCTCCCCAAGACGGCCCCACAGGCCCCTGAGAGGGCCTCGGGGAAAGCCCGAAGAGGCGAAAATCATTGATTTTTCATGTGTGTTTGACGGATTTGGGCGTTTGCTCCTTTTCGGCCTTCCGACAGCCCGAGACGGCTCAAAGGCCCGCAAAGATCGCACGCCGAGACGGCCCCAAGAGGGCTCCAAGACGGCCCAAGAGGCCTCCAAGACGCCCAAGATGGCCTCCAAGACGGCCCTGGAGCACGCCCCCAAGACGGCTTCCGACAGCGTCAGACGGGCCAGCGATACCAAAAGACGGCCAAAGAGGCCTCCGAGAAGCCCCCCCAAGGCCCTCAAGAGGCCCAAGGAGGCCCCCAAGATGCCTCCAAGGAGCTCCCAGGAAGCTCCCAGGAGGCCCCAAGAGTGCCCCCAAGGACTCCCAAGATGCCCGATCCTTTTCCCTCCTTCTCCTGATCTTTCCCGCCATCCTCTTCCAAGTGTTCCCCGAAGGATTTCCACAACGGCTGGAGAACACATGAACCGATAGCTTGGCAGAGCTCTTGCCACAGCGCTCGACCACATGGGCGATTGCAAAAGGCAGGGGGCGGCGGTGATTCGTCGTAGGCATCTTCGATACGGAGCAGCAGCAGCATGGAGTAGCGAACGATACATACTAGAACATGCAATGCGACAGCGCCAAGAACCAGCAACTCTACATGCCAGGGCACTGGCAATCAAAAACACCATGTGGAATTGATGGTAGTCACATGTGGAAACTCGGGTAGTCACAATGTGGAAATTAGGGTAACTACAGTGCCAAGTATGCCAATTATGAAAGTTACGAGCTAGTACGACCTTGCTATAACTAGGCCGTAACCATGCCGTAAGTGTCCTACCGAATTCTACTTGGCAGATTTAGTTGTAACCAGGCGCGCCGCGAACAGCATGAGGTACACAAGGCTAGGATTATCAGATCTAAGGAAGTGCTCAGCGAGAACCTCCTTCTGAAAAGAAAGCGTATTCCGCCCGTGTGGCTCTCTGGACATGGCTAAGGATACCGTGCAGCGACTGTCCCATGCTGAACAGGGACCACCTTCCATACCCGTAGCTGTTGCGGGCGCTTCAACTTCCAAATATACGAAGGTCTGGAAACAGAGAAGCTCATTCGGAAAAATAACCACATTCCATCCATGCGCTACTGGGACAGTCTAAACGAATGTGCGCGGCGATAAATGGGGTCGTGTCTAAGACCTACCCGACCTGTACCTGTGCGAGTCTTGGGGGATTCATACCCCGCCCCCTACCCGTGTAATTGCTTGAACGTTTCGGACGACGTGCGGCGCTGTGACGAGGGCCGTGGTGTTGAAAGCCACCCGCCCTCCATCCGCATGACTGTGGAAAATACCACGCTTTGGTATCATCGGCGGTGAAGACATCGTGCACGGGAATGCAAGGACGAGGAAAATGTGGCCTTCCTCTCTCCTCTCCCGTCCTCTTCCCTACACCCTCCCACGCCTGGGCGCCGCCAGGGCTCCTGGAGTTCCTGGTCCTCTTCCTCCTCGGTGTCCGAGGCCAGGTCCGCGGCGAACTTGTCCCACTTGTTGTAGTTTGTCATCGCCAGCCCGGCGGGGGAGGCCTACGTAAACCACCGCCCCCTCCCCCACCTCCTCCTCGCTTCGGCTGGCATTCGGGTGCTTCCTTCACCGCCATGGGCGGTCGCAGTTCGGAAACCAGGTCAGGGCCCGTGAGTGAATGGTTTTGAACAGATTTCTGCACGTGGCGGAGAAGGGTCCCGTGAAACCACTGGCGGCGGGTGCTGTTCGCATCGGTTCAGGCCCCAGGAGCCCTCGCGGAGCGATTGGGGCTCGGAGCCAAAGCAACGAATGCCGCGCAAGAACGGGGTCGGGAGTTCTGGCCGTGAGCTCTTCACGACGCTGTGAGACTTTCAAGTTTCTTATGGCGATCCCTCCGCACCACCGTCGCGGTGGTGCCAAGCTGCCCAGCTGGACGTCGCGGGCGTCATTGGCAAGGAAACGCCACGCCGAAGCGCGGCGAACCTGGAACTCTCACGGACGCGACTACGCGCAGTCGCGGGAGGGCTCGCTTCCCCGGCGCACGCACTCTTTCCGTCGGCGGCGAGGCAGCGTTGGCTGCACCAGCGAAGGAGCTGGACGGGGGCACCGAAAAGCGAGCTGGCCAGCGTGCAAGATGAGAAAAAACAGGGGAGGCGGGCGCCCCACGCGCGCACACCCAGTGGGCCCATGCGCCCTCCCCCCGCTCCGAAGCACGGAGGCGCGCCGAGCTCGGCGAGCGTCTGCGGCCCCGGGGGCTCTCCGCCCCCCAGCGGCGCCCCGGCGCGCCCAGGGGCGAGCCGCAGGTTTGCAAGAAGCCCTGCCGGCATGGGCCAGAAGCGGCCTCGGCCGTCGGCACGCCCAGCGGGCGCGCGTGCAGCGGCGCCGCCCCCCCGGCCCCTGGCCCGCATGGAGGCGCGCTGCCGGGCGAGCGCCTTCAGCTGGGCCCCTCCGCTGCCGCGGGAGCCGGCGGGCGCTGCCTCGCGCGCCGGCGGGCGGCCGGCAACACCACGCGCACTGCGCGTCGGGCGGGCCCGCGCCACAGGGGGGCGCTGGGGCCCTCTGCCGCGGCGCGCGCTGGCCCGGGGGAGGGGGGGCGCCGCCGCCGGGCGAGCGCTGGAGCGCCTCGGCGGCCTGGCACTGGCGGCGGAGCTCCTGCGCGCGCCTCAGGCCGCGCAGGCTGCACTGGCGGGGGCGGCCTGGCCTCCTTTGGCCGCCGCCAGATGTGGCCGTGGAGCTCGAACTCCACTACGCCCTGCGAGGCAGTCTCCGTGATCAGCAGAGCTGCCTCAGGCTCCACCGAAGGCGCTGGCTCGCCGCCGCCGGCCGACCCCGGGTCCTCGAGCTCCGCCGCCGCGGCGATCTCCTTGGCAGCTGGCACTGGCTCCATGTCCACGTCAGGATCGCTCCCGCGGCGCACCTTCTCGCGTGTGATGGCGGTGTCCCAGCCGTGAATATCCCCCTAGCGACGGCGCAGTGTACATTCGCGTGGCCTCCATATATCCTGCAGCGCGAAGCGATTGGGCAGGCCTAGTTGGGAGCGTGAATGCCTGGGTACCTTGAGCCAAAACGGTTACGGAGGGATGAGGGTAGGAGGACCTGATTCTTCTACGACAATATCGTGTTGGGCTCCTGCTTTAGATGCAGGGCTTGCCTCTTCTCGCGCCTCCTCCCGCCTCATTCACCCTGCACTCTCTCGGCCTCCTCCCTTCTCCCGCCTCATGCATTCCACTTCCCTTCCGCCCCCATCATTTCGCTCCCTGCCCCGATATTGAGCATCTTCTCCTCGAGAGGAATCCCGGACAAGGGGTGAATCCTCATCTGATCATCTTGTTTTCCTAGTTTCCGAAGTCTGGGAAAGGGATCGTTCGCAGCCTCAGCTGAATCCGCCTCGGAACCTTAGCCGGAGCGCACTGTAGGACAATTCCGAGGCTTGATCCCAAACATCACGAGCAGAGATCACTGCGGGCGTCTTCTCACAGCTCTGGCGCCCTGGGGGGCCGTCCCTGAGGCACGCAGAAGGCGACTGGTGGCGAAGCAAGGGCTCTCCTCCTCCTCCTCCTCCTCCTCCTCCTCCTCCTCCTCCTCGTCCTCCTCCTCCGTTCCTTTTCCTCATAGAGAACTCTTCCCTGTCGCACCCCGAGGCCAGTCGAAAGGACGGGCTGGTCGTTTTGCCTGGGGCGTCCTCACCATTTATGATCCTGGAACTCAAAGATTGGCCACAGCTTCACAAATGGATGGCGGGGCGTTTTCAAAATGGGGTTATCGCGTTAGAACCGCGCACATGTGTTTCCAAAACGTTGCAAACCCTTCACGGATTGAGGGCGGGTCGTTTCCAAAATGTGGCTCTCGTTGAAGCGCCACGCATATTCGTTGCAAAAAGCTGCAAGAGCTTCACGGCTTGAGGGCGTGCCGTTTTCAAAGTGTGGCCCTCGCCTCAGCGCCGCGCACATTCGTTCGGAAACTTTGCAGGATCTCCACGGACTGAGGGCGCGTGGTTTTCAACATGTGGCTCTCGCCATAGCGCCGCGCACATTCGTTGCAAACAAATGCACGGAGAGCTTCACGGACTGAGGGCGGGCCGCTTTCAACATGTGGCTCTCGCCGTAGCGCCACGCACGTTCGTCTTAAACAATTGCAAGATTGTCACTGTTTCTTATGGTAGACGTAAAAGAAACCACGTTTTGGAACGATTCAACACCGTCGGGGTGTAACAGGTCTGCTGATTCGCGGCGTTGAAGTCCCAGGAACCGCGTTCTGGCACGATTCGGGATCGCCAAGACGTGTCAGTCAGGTTAACTCGTGGCGTTGAAGTTCTGAGAAGAATGTTCTGGCGCACCTCAGGGATTACACACGGTTGTCCTCCTACGAGGCAGCTCCCTCAATGGAAACGAACCCTTGTAGGAGCCCGTGACGAGTGAGCTTGGAGGGAGGGTGTGTTCCAACATCGTGGATGTGTCTTGGGTCTACACTGGTCCTCCTCCCCCTCTTTTGCGCTGCTCGGACGTTCGGAACTAACCTGTTGCGGGCTGAACTGGTGCCGACAAATCCCCGACTTAGGCGTGGTAAAGAAAGACATAGGCCGCGGACGGGTGCAGAGGAAAGGCAAAGAGACAAGCATAGAATAGTGGCCATCGAGGGCGAGAGTGACCCAGTCCGCGGCGTCTGGAGAGGAGGAGATACCAATCACCACTCCGCCTCCTCGTCCTCCTCCTCCTCCGCTTCCTCCTCCTCCTCCTCCTCCTCCTCCTCCTCCTCCTCCGCGTCTAGGCCATGGGCTCGAGCTCCGAGCCCACTCCCGGCCCGACACGGCCACCATTTTGCCCGGCCGTGGCCATCCCGCGCCCCAGGATGGCTTACTTAGACACTCCCTCGCCATCGCTCGGACGTCCATTCCCCGTGTTTTTGTTCGGTTTCGTGCGTGGTTTTATCGCCAAACGATCAAGGATGCTCCTCGATGGTCCTCGCCGAAGGAAAAATCCACACGTCCGAGTGATGCCAAGCTCCTGGCCTCGGCCGAGAGGGGAATGCACGCCGTGCCATGGCCCAGGACGGCCACGCCTGGGCACGGGGTGCCGGATACCTCCTGCGGGGAGGAGGAGGATGGGAGGGAGAAGGAGGGCGCCGCAGCGGCGGCAACCGATCAAACCGACGTGATCCTGAAGGACGGCATGGCCAAACGTGGCCTCCCTGCCTTGTGGGCGGTCGCGCGAGCGGCGGCGAGGGCACGCGGTGCATGAGATCCTGGGGAGGCGTGTCGCGCGCGCAGAATCTGCAACGCAGCTTGCGGCGGCTTTGCTCTGGCGAGGGCAGGGGCGCGTAGGAGGAGGCGGACAGCTCACCTCCAGGAGAGCCCAGAATCGAATCGAGAAGTCGGATCGGCGACCGACATGAATCGGATCGGCGGAAATCGGAAGCCGACTCGGGAGAAGTCGAATCGGCGGAAGTCGGCAGGCTCGTCAGACTCCACGAAGCCATGGGAACCCAGATCGGAATCCGAAGTCGAGTCGAATCGGTCAATCGAATATCCACCGAAATCGACTCGAACCGAAACGGAGGAATCGAAATGAGCCCTGCCCGCCTCCCGCGCGCCCAGGCCGCATCAGCCAAGACTTCCGCGCGGTCGGCGGGCCAGGGCCGCCCACCCGGAGTGCGCGTCCGCGGTGCTGTCTTGCTGCCCAGGAGGATCTGGCGCACGCTCGGCCCGAGCGGCACGGGCAGGCACGTCAACGAAACGCACGCGTGGCATGGGCAATAACTTGAGCAGGGCTGGGGGGTCAGGTCTGCAGAACATGCGGGTAATACTCCTGTCCATATCCACTGCAGTATGGGGTTCCAGGCTCCCTCCCCCAGGAACCCGAGGCGCACTGGACATGGATAAATTAGCCCCCTAGAGGCTTCATTGTGATCCATATCCAGTGCGCGTCGGCCTTGTGGCGCCCCTTCCCAGAGAGTCCAAGGCGCACTGGATATTGATATGAGTCTTGCCCGCAGACCACCCCAAACGGACGTCAGGGGGCGCAACCAACCTGTTCAGTCCAAGCTGAATTTCATGCACCACACCCAGCGTCAAACCAAAACTTTGGGCATAAGCGGGTGGTTGGATTATGCGCATATTCGTCGACTCGTCGGCTTAACTGGCGAGGCGTTTGACCACCTTGACGTCCCTTGTTTGGTGGTCCCGCGGAGGAAGGTACTCTCTGACCCTCGGCCCTACACGTCGTTCATTTCTAATCGTGCTCATTTCTAAGTGTGCTCGTTTATAATTGTTCCTGGCCCCCTGGTGGCCAGGAAGAGGCCCAGGATAGAACAATTAGAACTGGAAGGATCTTGGCCCCCCAAAACATCAAAGAGCTTTCGAATACTTAGATATGAGCAATGTGTACCCAAGCAATGACCAAGCCAATCCCATGCCTCGCGCCGGAAGAAAGGCCGCAAGCGGCAACGGCGTGACAGCGCCCTGCCGGCCCCCGAAGCAGCCGCGCTGCGAAGCACACCCCTTGGGCAGCGCGCGGCCGAGGAGCGGCGGGCGGCCGTGCGCGAGGCGCTGCGGAAGAGCGCGCAGGGCAGCCTCACTGATAGCGAGGCACGCTGGCGTACAGCGAGGGCGCGGCCGCAAGAAGCCCCCGCAAGAAACCCAACCCTGAAAACCCGCGAGCGAGGCGCGCCCGAGGGGAATCCGGAAGCGCCCTGGACGCGGCAGCTCCTTCAACGGCCGCGGGAGGTCACCGCGCAGCGGGCGGAGCGAAGAAGCCCAGGATACCCTGACGAAAAGCGCACGGCTTCTTGATGCGCGCCTCTTCTGTAAGGTGGCAACCAGGAACAAACTACTGGTATCGACAAATTGGCGGCGAGCGAGGGGGGGGAAGTGAGCAGAAGCAGGCCTTCTCAGAAGGCGGCAGGACTTCTCAGAAGCTCTCGCGCCTTCTGAGAGGTTTCTTCTGTCTTCGGGGGAGGCTTAGACAACTTCTCAGAAGGCCCGGGGACTTCAGAGCCTTCTGGGAAGGCCTGCCCCTTCTCACTTCCCCCCCTCGCTCGCCGCCGACAAAAACCTCCAGCAAGAGCATGCCCATGCACCCGCAGCAGAGCGACCGAAATCGCCGTCGAACATCGAGCCGTCGTGGAATACATCCCCAGAAGGCCAGCTGACTGGGACATCCGCGGGCCCAGAGGAGGCGGGCAGCTGGGGAGATCGGGTCGCACCAGGAGCGACACTGTCACTAAGCACCCCTCGGCCTCATGCGCGCAACTGCGTGGTACATCCTTGCTTCGCACTGGCCTCGGAAGACACTGGAGTGGGACGGCGACGCAAAGCAGTGGATGCAAAAAGCAGAAAAGCAAGACGGCTCAATCACGGCTACTAGAGCGCGGCTCAATCAACAGCGTGAACCCCTTCGTCGCCGAATGTCAAACACCCCATGGAGCTAGTAACGATGAACGTGCCAGTTTGGAGAGCCCGCGCACGGGGAACAGAAGGATACACCATCGACGCGCCAGCTGTACCCGCGTGCCAGGGCGCTGCCCGCGTTCGTACCAGTGGCAAATTCGCCCTCCGCGAAATCGATGCCGAGCTTGCATTCCGTTTCAACCGCTGCGACGTCTAGAGCCCAGAGCCGCAAATCCAGCTGGAGACTACGCCCAGCGACATTCGCAATCGCCCTCATCCTTTCAATTTCGAGTCGCGCGTCCACTTGCTCGAGCTCGGTGCAGAGAAGCTCGACAAACTGTTCAAGCTCGTCCCGTACCCGCCCCTCGCCGCCGAAGTCCGCAAGGCAAAAAATCGGCATCGACTGCCAGGGCCTGCGAGCGGCGCGCAGCCTGAACGCTCCACAAGGCCCAGCCGAATAGCATGAAACATAAACGCAGTAAACGTGAATGCGGAAAGCACCGTCTGATCTTATTTCGGCTCACGGAGCACTCATTAGAGGTCAAGAGCGCGAGGTGCCTGAGAGACCTCATTGAGAAGGCGAAGTTGCATTGGGCGTGAGCCTGACGCAATAGCCGCCTGCAGTAAGTGGCGGCGCTGCGCGAACTCTGACGCCTGCCTCTTTCAGAAACCCAGAAGTATGGCCCCAGGGCATGGCCCCTTGCCGGCGCAACACCCTGACCGCATACTAGATACCCAAGCGCATGTTTTGCCGTCGCGCGGCTGGCTGAGCCAGACCAGGTGGCATTGCGGAATTCGTCCGCGTCATCATCTTCCTCTTCGTCGTCGTATTCGCAGACCGCGACTGTTTCGCCCAAGACCCGCGGCGGCGGGCAGCGACACCGCCGAATAGGCTGGCGCGCCGCTCGTAGCCACGCGCGTTGCCGCCTGATGAGGCTCGACCTTTACATTGGTTGCCAGATGACTGTTGAACTGCACGGCCAACCTGGGGCGGAGCTCCTGGGACCGCTGGAAGAGGATATCCTCAGGGCTATCAGCCTGGGCACCGCCTGAATCGCCAGCGATACCGGGCAAAACCTGCTGGGAGCGGTCGGAAGCCAGGCAGCAGTTCTTGCTGCGGCTGCTCTGTAGGTTTGGGGGGATACGTGTCGAGCGCCACGAGCTTGGGCTTGAGACGACCGTGATCCTACTGGGCGGCCAGAAAGACGGCATGCCGGTCGCCACTGCGCCACGCCCGCGCGGCAGCCACTTGGCCGCGCTGGGCGGCCATGACCAGGGCAGCTGCTGTGATGAACAGGTCTTCGTACACGGCGGCCAAGGTGTCCATCTGTTGCTGGTCCCAGGGGCGGGGCTGCGGCGCGTGGTCTCTGGCCTGCTTGTCGCAACTGCCGCCGCGAGTCCAATCACCAGTGGACCCTTGATGAATAGACGGTTGCACCCGTGGAGGCGATTTCCAGCCGTGCTTGCACCACTTGTAGGTGGTCGCGTCGCTTCTTGCAGCAACGCGCGGCGGGGCACGCACGATCACGGCTACGCAAGCTCGCGGGAATGCGTCGCAGCTTGGCTCGAGCCCACCCAGACTCGGCCGATCGCCCAGTAGCGAGCAGCCGTCCTGAGATTCCTGTGAGGATCCTCCTCCTCCCCCCCTCCCCCTCCCACTCCCCGGCCCCCCTCCCCTCCCCCTCCCCCCCCCCCATCCATCTCCTCCTCTCCTCCTCCTCCTCTCCTCCTCCTCCTCCTCCTCCTCCTCCTCCTCCTCATCATCATCATCATCATCATCATCATCATCATCATCATCATCATCATCATCATCATCATCATCATCCTCTCCTCCTCTCCTCCTCCTCCTCCCTCCCTCCTCCTCCTCCTCCCTCCTCGTCCTCCTCCTCCTCCTCCTCCTCCTCCTCTTCCTCCTCCTCATCCTCTCCTCCTCCTCGTTCTCATCTTCCTCCTTCCTCTTCCTCTGGCGGGGTGGCTCGCTCTTCGCCCATGTCGCCTTGCCGCCCTCCGCGCAGCACGCGACAAAGTAGCCCAGGTCAAGCGGGCGCCAGCGTCCCGGCCCTAGCTCAGGCCGCGAGCGCCGCGGCCAGGGCATCCGCTGCCCGCAGCGCCGTCTGGCACCAGCGTGCCGTCGCGCGGCAGGGCTGTGCTCAGCTCGACGCCCCACCGCGCTGCGAGCGCGCTGGCAGCAGCAGCGGCCTCTGGGCCGTCACCGAGCGGCTGGGCGCGGTCGCGGGCAAGCCAGCGCAGGTGTTGGCGCGCGGCTGGCCCGTGGCGCCCGCCCGTTTCCAGGGCGAGCGGCAGCACCCGCCAAGGCGCGAGGCCCGCGGGGCAGCGACGCCGCTTGTCGTTCTCGCCTTCCCTGGCCACTGCCCCGTCGGCTTCTGCTGTTGCAGCGCGGGCGCGCAGCTCGCCCGGCACCCCGTAACGGACAGTGACGCCCGCGAGGAGTCGCAGGCAGCGGGCCCGCTGGCCTTCCAATTCGAGGAGCGCCTCCTCGCGGCCAGTCTGGAGAGCGGCCCCGCACGCCCTGCAAGGCTCGCGCGGCTAGGCGTCCGCGGTGCCGCGGGCGGCGCAGCAGCCCGTGACGGGCACGCCCAGCGCCAGCGGTCCCAGGCTGGGACGACACTTGGCGAGCGGTTGGGATGCGCTCCTGGACGTCCTCGATGTCCTGGCCGCGCGCCTTGGTGCCGCCGCCGCAAGCGAAGCAGAAGGCGCGGTGCGCCTTCTGGCAGAAAGACTGACCTCAAGGCTGCCCCGCGCGTGCGCCAGTCCGCAGCCGGTTCTCGCAGCGGCTGCCCAGCGGCGCGAAGTCTGGGCCCAGCAGCGCACGCGCGGTGCTCAGGTAGTCCTCGTCGTCGAAGCGCTGCCAGGGCCCGCCGGCCGAGTGGGGGCCGCCGTCAGAGCGGAAGCGCGCCCAGTCCTCGGGGTCCAGGTTGTTCAGCAAGGCGTTGGATCTTCTATTGTCTAGCCTACGGGTGACCGACTTGAACTTGTGGACTTTGTCCCGAGGCGCCTGGGCGTGCTCCCGCCAGGGCGGCAGCGGCGCGTCTTCTTCGTCCGCAGGGGGCGCCCCTGGTAGCGCGGCCAGCGCGGCCCGACAAGCGGCGGCCAGCGGCAGGTCGGAGGTGTTCAGGTCGTGTCCAGGTCGGCCAGGCCGGGAAGGCCGGGAAGGCCGCTTCTCTCCAGTGTCCCCGCCAGGCTCTGCGCCCAGGAGCCCGCCCAGGCTGCGGGGGCGAGCTCCCCCTGGCAGCGGAACCCGCGCCCTCCGAGGTTAAGGGGCAGGCGGCAATGGGCGCGCTGAAGGGTCCAGGCGTGCCAGCCTCCCCGTAAGCCTCCTCCTCCTCCTCCTCCTCCTCCTCCTCCACCTCCTCCTCCTCCACCTCCTCCTCCTCCTCCTCCTCGTCCTCCTCCTCCTCCTCATCCTCCTCCCACTCCTCGTCCTCCTCCTCCGCCTTCTCCTCCTCCTCCTCCTCCTCTCCACCTCCTCCTCCTCCTCCACCTCCTCCTCTTACTTCTCGTCCTCCCCTCCCCCTTCTCCTCCTCCTCCTCCTCCTCCTCCTCCTCATCCTCCTCCTCCTCCTCCTCCTCCTCCTCCTCCTCCTCCTCCTCCTCCTCCTCCTCCTCCTCCTCCTCCTCCCCTCACCCTGCTCCGACGGCGACGGCGACGGCGATCCGCTCTCGGCCTCCGCAGGGGCCAGGCCGCGCGCGCGCGGAGGAGGCGGGGCTCGGCGCTGGCTGGAGCGGGCAGAGAGGGGCGGCGGCGCGCGCGCGAGGCAGCTGCGTGGCGCCGCCGTCGTCGTCACCCTCGTCATCACCATCGTCGGTGTCCAGTCGGACCTAAGACAGAGCAACATCCTTTAGGAACATGAGACGTTCCGCCGGCCAAAATGAAGAGCATTCGAGGGTACCCTCCCCCTGGATGCACAAGAGCATCCAAGAAACACGAAGAGGATTAGGACACTCTCCCTGAACCGACCTCGATCTTATACCTCGGTCTGGCTGCGAGCCCTACCCCCACCCCCCACGATTCCTACGGGGGGGGGCGGTTCACTCCGCCCGGGAGCTCCCGAACGAGGTGAGCTCCCACCCACCCCTAGAAATCGCGGGGGGCGGGGGTAGGGCTGGCAGAACTCTACCGAATTCCCTTCCCAGAGGCCATTCCACCGAGCTGATGGCACTCCGCTCCGAGCACTCTCTGGGGGGCGCGCTTGGGAACGGGGTGCCATCAGCCCCGTGGGAGGGAGCGGCCAGCCCTCCTTGCTGGCGGTGGTGGTTCTTTCTTCTCTGCTGGGTCCCTCTCGTCATCGCCATCGTCGGTGTATGATGTCCTCCAGTCCCCAGCTTTGCGGGACTCTCGACTGGGCAGAATACCTGACGCCCTGCTTGGGGATATACGATGGGGGGCGGCTGCGTATCCTAGATGGTGGTGCGTCTGAACAGCCGCCAGAAGTGATCTCCGAATTTCTCTGTTCTAAACATCAAGTTTGTAAGGAGAAGCTCGGGGACTTGATCCTTCTCATCCACGACGCCCTCGTCGTTCTTCGTCGGCCGTTGTCGGGCGTCGTCCGTCGTCGTCGGCGTCGGCCGTCGTCGTAGACGTCGCCGTGGTCGACCGCGGCCTGACGCCGCCGTGGGTCGCCATCGACCGTCGTTGCCTTCGTCGCCAGCCTCGTCTTGAGGCGGAGGAGGGAAGGAGGATGGGGAGGAGGGGGGAGGATAAGGAGGGGTGTCCCTCCTCCTCTCTCTACATATTCTGGTTGATCAAGTCACTATGCGAGGCGGGGATTTATCTATATCTAACGCCTGGGAACCGACGTCCTGGTGCCCTTACGGGCGGTGGATCGGAGGTGAGGGGGTGAGAACGAAGTGGAACGGAGAGCCCCCCACCGGTAAATCTGTTTCGGTTTCATGTTCGTGCCGTGCGCGCGGGCGAGGCGAAGCTGCGTGGGCGGGGAAAGGAAATTCTCCTGTGGCTGGGCCGCGGCCGGACCAAAAAGTTCTCCGCCCGGCAACCGGTGGCGCGCGGTGTCCCGCCGGTGTCCCGCTGGTGTCCCGCTGGTGTCCCGCCGGTGTCCCGTCGTTGTCCCGTGGTGTCCCGTGGTGAGATCGACAATGAGATCGATAGTGAGATCGATTGTGAGATGGATAGTGAGATCGATAATGAGACCGATAGTGAGATCGATAGTGATATCTATAGTGAGAGATCGATAGTGATATCCATAGTGAGATCGATCGTGATATTGATAGTGAGATCGATAGTGCGATCGATAGTGAGATCGATCGAGTGGGAACGATAGCTAGATCGATAGTGGAATCGATAGTGAGATGAATAGTGAGATCGAAAGCGAGATCGACAGTGAAATCGATCGAGTGAGATCAATAGTAAGATCGATCGAGTGAGATCGATAGTACGGTCGATAGCGAGAAAGGTCGTGGGATCGATAGTGAGAACGATAGTGAGATCGATAGTGAGACGGATCATGAGATCGATAGTGAGACCGATAGTGAGATCGATAGTGGTATCGATAGTGAGATCGATCGATAGTGGGATCGATATTGAGATCGATAGTGAGATCGATCGTGAGACCGATAACGAAATCGCCGGTGAGATCGATAGTGAGATCGATCGAGTGGGATCGATAGTGGGATCGATTGTGGGATCGATAGTGAGATCGATCGAGTGAGATCGATCGAGTGAGATCGATCGAGTGAGATCGATGGTGAAATCGATTGTGGGATCGATAGTGAGATCGATTGAGTGAGACGTTGGTTCCTCCTCCCCCCCCCACCTCCTTAAATATCACCCGAAGGGTGGTCGTATAGGCATGGATATAGGTTGGCCCCCGGGGGCCCGAATAGTTCCATGTCCACCGCATGCCGAGGTCCGAGGTCCCCGAAAATTGATCCTCCAGGCGGTGGTCATGCATACATTCCCGCCTCGGACACTGGTTCACTCACTCGCTCTCTCTCTCTCTCTCTCCCTCTCTCTCTCTCTCTCTCTCTGTCTCTCTCTCTGTCCCTCTTAACGCCCACACAATCTTCACCTCTCCCATGTACGCGCCTGCAAACTAGATTGGACCTCCTCTTCCTCGTCTCCCACTGGGCGGGGGGCAGTTTGAATCCAACATGGATCCCAGACTTTTGAGTGGCACGGCTCTCTCAAAAGTTCCAAATGGGCCAATGTGGTCTTGGCCTGATGCGCCTGCCACCCAGAACACTGTCCCGGAAGTGGGAGGTAAGGGCCCTGCCGTTACAGATGGCTCCAAAATGGCCCGAAACTTCAAGACGGCCAAGATGATATCCAAGACGGCCAATCTGGCCCCAAGAGAGCCAAATACTGGGAACAGGACACAACATACTCAGTACAGCGCTTCGTGGCCCCACAGCCAACTCCAAACGAGGAGGCCACGACGCGCCAAATGCGTGTCGAAAATCGCTGTCCAAAGCTGTCCGGCGAACGTGGCCGAAACTCGGGCCAACGATTCGGGCAAGGAGGAGGAGGAGGAGGAGAGGAGGAGGAGGAGAGGAGGAGAGAAGGTGGGGGGACGCCGGCGTGTCGCGTGCGAGCTGCTGCGAGCCCTACGCGAAGTTCCCATGCACTGAAGCTTCCGACCATACTGAAAACCTGCACCAGCGCGCCGTTACGACAGAAGCTTCCTATTCTGGCCCGCAACTGGGGTTGCGACAATTCGGCCGCATTTCCCAGGAACGCGCCGTTACGACAGAGCCCAATATTGCCTTGACATGTCTGCCAAGCGGCCCAAGATGCACCCAAGGCGGCCTACGATGGCCTCAAGATGGCCCAAGTCGGCCCAAGAGGCCCCCAAGAGGCCCCCAAGAGGCCTTCAAGACGGCCCAAGAGGCCGCCAGTGCAGGATGGCCCGAGAAGCCAGGATTGCTGATGGCTCTGACTGAAGTGTCTCAATAATTGTAGCGTCCTCGCCTTTTTGGGATTCCCGCGCTCCAAGGCGGCCCCATAGGCCCGCAACATTGCCTCAAGATTTCCCAGGACCTCCCCGAAGAGGCCCGCAAAACAGCCCAAGAGGGCCCCAAGAGGCACCAAAGACGGCACCATAGACCTCCAAGACGGCCCTGAAGCGTCCAGATAGAGCCCCTAAAACGGCATCCGACGGTCAAGGTCCAGACGCCACCAAAAGAGACCCCCAGAGGCCCCAGGAGCTCCTCAAGAGGCCCCAAAGAGGCCCCCAATAGCCTCCCAGGAAGCCCCCAGGAGGCCGCAAGAGGGCCTGAAGAGGCCTCCCTTTCCTGGTCCTCCTCCTCCTCCTCCTCCTCCTCCTCCTCCTCCTCCTCTTCCTGGTTCTCCTCCTTCGTCTCCTCCTCCTTTCTCGTCCTCTCCTAGTGTACCCGAAGGGGTTCCACAGTGGCTGGGGAACCACATAGCCCAATGGCTCGGCCAGACGTCGGCCCAACGTTTGGCCCCGAGGGCGTTTCCAAAAGGCAGGGGGCAGCGGTGATTCGCCGCAGGCGTCTTCGATCCGCCGCCCCCTGTGGCTTGCAACAGGGGTGCGCGGCGTGTCAGATCTGTGCTGTGGTATTTTTGGCAAGTCCCAGTGAAGTCACGGCCCAGTCCTGAGGCCGCGCGAAAAAAGGTGCCTTCCGTCAACTTCCTGGCCCAAGACGAAATCCAACTCACTTCCAAAACGGCCGACCTCCAAGACAGCTCAGATGGTTCCAAAACATCGCAAGATGGCCCCCCAGATGTCTCCAAGACGGCCCAATATGTCCCCAATACGGCCCAAGCCGTCCCAAGAGGCCCTCAAAAGGCCCCGAGAGGGTTCCAAGAGGACCTCCAGGAGGCCAGAACGGCTGATCCCCCTTGGGTGTGCTATGATTGTAGCGACCTCACCGGTTCGTGCTTCCGACGCTCCAAGACGGTCCCATAGGCCCCAAAGATCGCCCCAAGACTAACCTAGAGGCCCCCAAGAGCCCTGCAAGACGGCCCTAGAGGGCCGCGGCCCAAAAGGCCCGCAATACGGCTCAAGAGGCCCCCAAGACGGCCCCCAAACTGCCCCATAGACCTCCAAGACGGCCCTCAAGCGGTTCAACAAGACCGCAAGGCGGCCTCCGAAGGCCAAGAGGTCCCTCAGAGGCCCCCGTAGGCATGCATCCAAGGGGCCACCAAGAGTCCTAAGGAGGCCACCAAGAGACCCCAGGAGCCCCCCCAAAGGCAATATTTGTTTGCATAGGACTCCAAAGGGTTCCCAGGAACCGCCCAGGAGGTCCCAAGGCAGCCTCAGGAATCCTCCTCCTCATCATCTTCGTATGAGTATGCATCAGCGTATCATAAGTAGTTCGGATATTATCATGATTATAGTCGTACTACCATGAATCTTATGAGTGGCAGTTCTGGTAGCTAGTATGGCAATTACTGTTACTAATACTACTACGAATACTACTACTACTACTACTACTACTACTACTACTACTACTACTACTACTACTACTACTACTACTACTACTACTACTACTACTAACTACTACTACTACTACTACTACTACTACTACTACTACTACTACTACTACTACTACTACTACTACTACTACTACTACTACTACTACTACTACTACTACTACTACTACTACTACTACTACTACTACTACTACTACTACTACTACGACTACTACTACTACTACTACTACTACTACTACTACTACTACTACTACTACTACTACTACTACTACTACTACTACGACTACGACTACGACTACGACTACGACTAC